CCACCACTCCTAACGAATATTGTACATTTTTCTTGCCATGATGGGTGCATTATTTTTGTCCCAATGATGGCTACATAATAAATATATTACAAGGATTTAAATTTGTATGAGAGTATGCTTCTTTTGCATTTTATATTAGTAATATTTAATTTTCTGTCTATTTAATGTATACTCAAACTAAAGGCACAGGTATCATGTGACACTGGGTTGGGCTGAAATGCAATGTACCTATGCTTCTGCAATTAAATGCAATGACATATGACAACAATCAAGGGAAAATGACATGCCAAAATTCTGAAAGGTATAAGAAAATGAAAGCTAGCTCATGCCATATGGCAAGTAAGTCACATGTCCTAAGTGTGGCTGTGTGTAAAATTGGGGACCAAATTGAGAAAAGTCATTATATTACTTGAGCATATAATCACTCAAACTTCATTTTCTTCTTTTTTTTCTTAGCCCACCAAAGGGAACCTTGGCGTAACTGATAGAGTTGCTGTCATGTAATTAGGAGGTCACGTGTTCGAGCCGTAGAAACTCCCTCTTGCAGAAATGCAAGGTAAGGCTGCGTACGATAGACCCTTGTGACCTGTCCCTTCCCCCACTGAAAACAGCCTCTTGAGGAAATGCAGGGTAAGATTGCGTACGATAGACCCTTGTGTTCGGCCCTTCCCCGGATCCCCCGCATAGCGGGAGCTTAGTGCACCCGGCTGCCCCCCGTCCCCTTTTTTTTCTTAGCCAACCCTACTTACCAAAAAAAAAATTTAACATTATTTTTTGGAGTCTCGACTATTTGAATTCATCTCGGAAAAAATCATAAAAGGAAAAAGCAATCTATACCATAAAATTTTTCATTATCAAGGCTCGAACCGAGAATTCTGATTAAGATCAGAGAGATCCAATTCATCGCACTACAAACTTTGATGATGATAATGCTAACATTGACTCTCTCTCTCTTATTATATTATTTTACTTCTTTCTTTTTTTAGAAGGGGAGTCTTGGCGTAACTGGTAAAGTTGCTGCCATATGATCAGAAGGTCACAGGTTATAGAAAAAACATATTGCAGAAATGCAGGGTAGGGCTTTGTACGATAGACACTTGTGGTCTGGTCCTTCTCCGAACCTTGCACATAGCGGGAGCTTAGTGCACCGGGCTATTTTTTTTTAATTCTAGTTTTAGTAGTTATTAGAGATATTAAAAAGTTTGAGATATTAATTTTTAATTCAAATAAGACAATAATTAAGATCATGGAGGTCTAAAAGCCCAACCTAGACTCATTTACTACTCTACTCCTTCCTTCCTGTGAGATAGGAGGCATAATCACATGGGAGTAGCAATCATAAAAGATGCTAAAAAGACAATGGCAGAGGATTTGGTGGAACCACTTTTAATGTATAACTCATTTGTATGTTTCTTTCCTAAGGATCTCTATCAATCTTTTTTCATATTAATATAAGGTAAATACAAAATTAATTAATTTTTTGCCCACCATCCCAGAAATTTAATGCATTCTGACCTTGGATTGGTACATGGAATTTTGTAGATTATTTAAGGGAGACATTCACCATTAAAATGCCAATTAATATTTTTATCCTATTATAAGTCACATACATTATTGGTTTTCTACTCATGAATCAAGTGTGACATTTTGGTTCAAAACACAAACACTTTGATACAATTCGAAATAAAATGAATTAATGATTTAATTTTAAGCTAATTTGTAGCGATAAGAAAAAAATTATAAAAGAATTTTCTGAGTAACCGATTATTTCCTCTATAAGCAAGAAGAGAACGATCATTGTAGCTCAATGTACAACATGTTAAGCATGGAACTTATTCGCGGATATCATCATATTGATATTTACAATACAAATCTAGAATAAACAAAATTTGCTGATTTCGACTATGATAGTGAAGTTATTGACAAAATTAAAATGGGAAATAAATAATAAGGTGATGAAAATTGAAACTTTTTGTAGCTATGCACGAATGCAGAAGCAATTCTAATGGCCTCTTCATTATATGAGAAGGTAATAATGGGCCAAATGTTGCTATTGAGCTTTTCATGTAAAAATAGCACGGTCTAGTTAGTTTTCGGACTGGTCATTCAAAAATAGCCAGAGTTTACCAAGTCAATGAAAAATAGTCACCATTTTGCTGCAACAGAGACCGGTCCAGCATAATATACAGGAGTTAGGTGCACCTGTGTATGAACTTCCAGCATATTATGCTGGAACTCCAACACACGGAAAGTTCCAGCATAATATACTGGAGATTCGAGCATTTGTGTATGAACTTCCAGCATATTATACTGGACCGGTATACTTTGCTGGAACTCTAGTATATTATGCTGGAGTTCTAGTGTACTTATGCTGGAACTCCATCATATTATGCTGGAGTTCCAGCATACTTATCCTGGAACTCCAGCAAGCATACTTATCCTGGAACTCCAGTATAATATGCTGGAGTTCAAGTATACTTATGCTGGAACTCCAGCATAATATACTGGCGTATTTTTCGGGTTTTGAACAGTGTTTTCGCTCATATTTATCTTTACATAAAAAGTAGCTAGATTTCGATTACTTTTGAAATTGGGTTATTTTTGAACGACCACTTGTAAATCTGGCTATTTTTGAATTTCTCCCGTCTTAGAGCCATCGTAATTTTTGTGTGGTCACGAGTTCGAGCCGTATAATTAGCCACTAGTGTAATGGTAGTAGGATTCCTATATTACATCTCTTGGGCGCGACCCTTCCTGAACCCTGCGAGAATGCGATATACTTCGTGCACTGGTCTGTCCTTTTAAATTTTTCAGTGTTAGCATTCAATTATTTCTTCAACCAAAAAGAAAGAAGAAAAAAGGTGAGCTTTATCATTCAATTTTGTATAACAAAGTATAAGGCAATAATATAAGCGTTAATCGCAAGTTTTTATCACCAATCAATTTTTTGTCTCTTCACATAATACTTGAATGAAAAAGGAAAATAACAACCTTTAAAGAGTGTGATAAGATGAATGAATGAAATGCCATTACCTTTTCATAATATAAATTTAAATTTAATAAGGCAGTCGATTATCTAAAGCATAAAAAAGCAAGTAACATCTACATTACAAGTTCAAACCTTCCAAAATTATTTGGGGACGATTCCACTATATGAATGACCCAAAAAAAAAAAGGAAAAAGAAAGAAACACAAAAAAATGGAACTGCCGCGGTGGCACAAGGTGATTGGTTTATAGAGCAAGTCCACCAATTGCTACAATACACCTCTTTCCTTTCCCGCCATTCCCTCTTTCCTAATTCCCTCCTTTCTTCCTTTGCACACTTCTCCATAGACAAATTCCATTTCCATATTGAATGTTGCCGTTGCGCTCATGCTGTCACCATTTCACTCAACCTTCTCTTTACAACCGTCTCCTTTTCTCCCTTAAACCCTCTTCAGTCTTTCTCCTTATATCCCCCTTTAATCCCCTTAAAACCCTTACACCCCTTTTCCTAAACCCTAATTCAAGAACCATGTCCACTCGTCCCTCTGCTTTCGATGTCCTTATGGCAAATTCCAAGAAAAAAACCCCAACACAAGATTCTTCACCCAAGAAACGCAAAACCCCAGAAGCTGAAACTTCTAATAAAACTGCTATTCTCGAAAATCATAATCAAGATTCAGTTTTGAAGCCAAATGAGGACACCCATTTGGTTAATGAGTCGAAAAGTGAAGAGGTTTTGGTGAAGAAACAGAAGATGATAAGTCCAGATGAGAGTGTGACTGAGCTGAAGAAAAAAGCCGCTAGCTTTGATCCAAGAAAGGCTGCATATTGGAGGGATGGTGAGAGAGTGCCATTCATGTTTGTAGTTAAGGCGTTCGATGCGATTTCGAAGGAGTCAGGAAGAATTGTAATTACTGAAATTGTGACTAATATGTTGAGGACTGTGATTGAGACGACGCCCGAGGATTTGTTGCCTGTTGTGTACCTTTCGGCTAACAAGATTGCAGCTGCACATGATGGTTTGGAGCTTGGTATTGGAGATGCTTCGATTATCAAGGCACTTGCTGAAGCTTGTGGCACTAAAGAAGCACATATTAAGAAGCAATATAAGGTATTAAGTTTGTTAATTTGGAAGAACTAGGTTGAAAATTTCAAAATGTGTAAGGTTGCAGCTGAAGCATTAATTCCCTTTAGCATAAGTTGGTTTACTTTGACTTGAATATTTTATTTGACTTAAAAACAGTGCAGGTGTGTGTCTGTGTGATTGAGGGTCTCAAGAGAAGATTAGAAGTGAATGATAACCTTCTTTTTATCGAGTGTAATTGCCTTAGCCTTGTCTTTTGGAAATGCTTAGTTTGTCCTTACTTGATGGTTAGTCTGCTCGGGCTGATGAAATGATTGTCTGAAGCGATATTGTTAGTTTATTTAGTCATTGACAGCCCATATATCCCTAGCTATACGCCATGGTTTGTCAAATGAAGACATTCAGGGCTCTTCCAGTGGAAATAAAAGTATATATGTGGAACTTGAACTATGAGACTTATTAGGTAAATTTGTTCTGAAATTTGTGCATCACATTGGTGCAGTTCACAGTACTATATGAGATTTTGTTAGTAATTATATGCTACTTCACGTTACTGTTTCTGTTTTTACTTTTCCTCTTTTTTGGTTTCTGAAATTTGTGCATCACATTGGTGCAGAGACTTGTTGGGGGGCGGGGGGGGGGCTGGTGGTGTTAGTGGGGTATCAAATGCTGCATTGCCTTGGCATGTACTTGAATTTAGAAGCCTAAAATTGAACAAGGCTCTATTTTTGCTGTGCGCTGTACCTTGCTATTAGTGCAACTTGCTAATAGTTTGGTCAAGTTGTCAGTACATTAAACAGAGATTTTCGTATTCCATATTTCATGTTCAGTTCGCATAGTTTTTCTATCCTAAACGACCACTTCCCTCACGTAGTCATTGACCAAATCCTAGGCACCTAGCTGCAAGCCTGACAGAAGCGTCATATCTGACTATCACATTTAGAGCTGCATCTCAAAAATCACATATACGTGGTAGCTACAGTGACATGATTATTTGATACATAAGGGACTAATAGAAAATCTCTACGGTTATGTCATACATCTGTATTCTGTAATGTCTACATTCTGCGTGTTCTATTTAAATTAGATCATGCAATCTAGGAGATTCAACCTTTTCTCCAAATAGGTTTTGACTAGTCCAGATATCTGTTTTCATTGTTAAATACAGGAGCTTGGAGACTTGGGCCTTGTTGCAAAAGCAAGCCGCTCATCACAACCTCTGATGCGAAAACCAGAAGCATTGACTGTTGCTAAAGTTTTTGACACGTTTCGGATTATTGCCAAGGTATTCCAGTTTCATTGTTCACTTTATAAAAAAAAAATACTTCTTGAAGTGGGATTAAGATGTTTAGTGAATAGCTAGCATACCACATATTTGAAGTTCCTATAGAAGCCTCTAATCAAAGTCAGTTCTGCGTGTTGTGCTAAATGGGTTTGTCAGGGAAGCTACAAAATAAGTTTCTCCTTTATGTGGTGCAGTTGATCCTCTATTCAAATATTTATTCCTGTTTTATCTGATATTGTTTTGGATCTTGCAGTTATGGTATGTAGTATTTGTACTATGATTAAGTTGCCTTATGTGGGATTTCTTTCAGGAATCTGGGAAGGATAGTCAGGAAAAGAAAAAGAATTACATTAAATCACTACTTGTTGCAGCTACTGATTGTGAACCCCAATATTTGATTCGTCTCCTCCAGGTTAGAGTTTGCCTTTTCTTCTTTTCTTTTCTTCATAGAGTTAGTTAGCTGTTGCATTGGACATTGAACCTTTGTTCACTGTTCAGTTGATTTCTCTTTCTTGCAGACAAAGCTACGCATTGGTTTGGCTGAACAAACACTCTTAGTCGCACTTGCTCATGCTTCTGTGTACTCAGATAAGCATTCATCACCTCCTGCAGGTCTAGATTCTCCTTTGGAAGAGGTGTGTTGTTGCCCATTTTGGAGGAGTTTTTAATTATATTTTCCTTCCTGCAAACTTGCATGAACTGTGATGAAGTACAAGCAGTGGCGGATCCATCCCTTTGCTTGAGGGGCCATGGGCCCCACCACGGTTGAAAGAATACACCTTTATATTACTATTAATTGTTGGATAGAAGTATTTTGCTTTGTATTTAACTCTTTAATCATCACCAAAACTTGAAAGCCATACTTCATGGACAGAGAATGGTCTGCGATTTTTTTTTTTTTGAAATGGTGTTATTATTGTCAAAAGCCAGCACTAAGAAAGTGCTATGGCTACAAGTAAAAGATAGTAAGAAGAAGCAAAAGAAAACCCTGACTGTCAATACAAAAGATTCTGGGAATTGCTACAGGGTTTCACTATCTTCTACCATTCCAATCTACACCATGAAGATTAATTGATTATTTAAGTTCATGATTAATTGATTCATTAAATTCTGATGCCTTTGCTCTTTGTATGTGATGTAAGTATGCTAGACTAGCTGCCTGTTACATTTCCAGTGCTATTCAATGCATATCTCATTGGTTCTTTATTTTCATTTGACTTTTGTGTTCGGCAGGCTGCCAAGATTGTAAAGCAAGTGTACTCTGTAATTCCGGTTTATGAAAAAGTTGTTCCTGCTCTTCTAGCTGATGGTGTTTGGAAGCTTTCAGAAACATGCAACTTCTCACCTGGTGTTCCGGTTGGACCTATGCTAGCTAAGCCAACCAAAGGAGTATCTGAAATTCTTGATAAGTTTCAGGATATGGAGTTCACATGTGAATACAAGTATGACGGTGAACGTGCTCAGGTATTCTTATAATCTTATTCTTATTAATAATTTTATTCAGTAAATTACTACTGATTCAGATACTCTCTTTCTAGGAACTAAACACTAAATGAATGGGGACTAAAATTATATGCAAATATTAGAAACTTGCTGAAAGAATACACCCTAATTACAACCATTTACCTCATAGAATGAAATATTAGTCGCATGATTCTTTTCTTTAAAAAACTAATATTCACACTGCCTCCATGCAGCTGATTTCCATTTGTTCCTTCATAGCTGATGGAGCTGTCCGTTTCTTGGTTAATCTTGTTTAATATCTATTAGAGGAAGGAACTTTTATTAATGCAGTAGAACACAAAGGAAGACAAATCTTATCCTAGTACGTGGAAGTTTACTAGGTTTCCAAGTTGTTCGTGTGGGATTTCCTATTGAAACATGTGAAATTGGTTCTTCTAACAAAACTAAGTTATTTGCCGGCATTCAGTGAGAGATTTAGGCTATTATCTTCTTGAAGAAGAGGTACCATGCCTTTGAAATACACATCACCCGACAAATTTGGAAAGATACGGAGAAGATTAGCATGGCTCTATGCAAGAATGACAAACACACATCGAGAAATGGTCCAAAATTTTCCTTCTCAAAAAAGAAATACGCCCTATTCAACTAGTTTTCCGAGTTACGCGTATGGAATTGCCTATTAGAACATGTGAAATTGATCTTCCTTACAACCAAATTCTTTGACGCAATTTAGTGAGAGATAGAGGTAGTATTCCTTTGAATGTACTCGGATCTAATTCAAGGTTCATCCGCATGAAAGACATTGGATTGGAACTAGTGAATCCATTTGGAGCAGAAGGGGACGAATGGCTGGTGGTAAAAGCAAGAAGTGTTTGAAGAGCTTTTACTTATTTGCAGCAGCTGCACCTAGTGGGACTGATCCTAAAGATACCATGTTCCCTCATTCCATCATGGCCCTTTTCGCGTACAGCTTCGCTAAATAGCTCTTGAAACTTGTTGCTTTCCGTTCTGTTCCAGACTTGATGCTTGTTTGCATGAAAAGTCAGGTGTGCCAGCTTTTAGGTTTGTCTTCAGCGTTCCTGTCTTCCCTTCTTTAGGAGAGGGGAAATTTCTCCTCAGCTTGTGACTTGATTAAGGCTGTAATTTCATATTTACTGAGCTCTGCTTTTGAGGTTCTGCATGATAAATGTACTTGGTTACCCTTTTCCTCTTTGATTTACAGGTTTATGTTTTTGTGGCCCATAATATCCCTTCCTTTTCTCTTTCTTGCTATATCATAGAAACAGAACTTTCAGTTTCAAACCTGGCTCACCAGACTCCTAGTTATTCTAGATTACTTCTATTTTTCCCTCAAAAGTTTTCCTAACATCTTTTGTGCCTTCTTTTGTTAATTCTCAGCTACAACTGTCGTCCTAAAATTATTTCTCTTACATTTTCAAACTTTCTGGCACCTCCTGGATGTATACTCTTTTCTAGCATCCAGAGTCTATGGATGTTGTAGAACTGGGCGGAGAACTGGTTTTAGAAGCAATCTAGCAGCTAATGAGCCTCTTCTTCATTGACAGATGGCTAACTTGCTGATACAGATTTTACAACATTATTGATATCCTTCATTTAAGGCATTACGTGCGCTTTTGTGCTATTGATAACTTCCCTTGTGTTCTCTGCTTGATATTCATTACAGTGTCCATTAAGTAAAAAGTTTGGCATTTTGCTTCTATTTTCCTATTGCTTCCTCCTCGACTCGACCCTTGTGATAAATGGAGTCGTAACTGCACATTGTTATTGTCGAAATTCAACTGAAGTCAGTCTAAAATATTGTTCTCTGAACATTTTCCGGGACCTCTTAATCTTTCTAAACTAATCTTATTATTTGCACTTCAATTTTTGTGTTGAACTATAGTTATTGTTTTTTTTAATCCAGATACACTACATGGAAGATGGTTCTGTTGAGATATACAGCCGAAATGCAGAAAGAAATACTGGAAAATTTCCCGACGTTGTTGCTGCTATCTCAAGGTAGCATTTCCATTTGTTTGGATTTCTGCAGTTGTAATCTGTGAGCACTTCCTCTTAGCTCAATGTTCTCTTCAGATGTTAAAAGCTTCCCATTTATTTACAACATTATAGTGGAGATCTTAAGACCGCTCTAATTATACATATGCTGCTTAAAAAGGGAAGTTTGCTTGATAAAGTTGATGTGTCCTGGGCATCTGTTAACTCGGAACTTTGACTCTCAAATTGAAGCTGCTTATATTTTGCAAATCCAGGATCAAATATTTGTCAGCTGACTGTTGTTGTGCACAAATAGTTAAACTGAATCTGGATGTATGAAATTTATCAACGACTTGCATGATAATGAATATTTGCGCAACTTGAACTAGTAAGTAATATGTGAAAGCAAGACATTAAACTTGATGACTGAGCAACTCATTGAGCCAACTAAAGTGTACATCGGAAAAGTTTGTCTCAGCTCTCTCCCGCACACATAATTGTGAAGATTAAACCACTATTTCATTCTCCCAATTGTAACTATGTGATGTTGACTTAATTTTTTCACAAAAAATTGGATTATGAGTTCTGCACGCAATTTATTCTTTATACATTGTGAAAACTGGTCTCAGGCAGATAAAGAATTTAATTTTTAATGTATTATATGGTATGTAAACTATTGCTACAAGATTCGTGTTCTCGGCAATTATGTGTACCTTGTATACCAGAATCGTACATAACCTGAAAGCTGTTGCAAATTTGTGAGCTAATTGCTGTAGGTTGTTGCAGATTGAAGAAATCTTCTGCAACATCATTTGTTCTTGATTGTGAACTGGTCGCATATGACCGTGAGAAACAGAAGATCCTGCCCTTTCAGGTAAATCATCTGCACCTACTCTATATATATTTTGCAGTTCTAGATCTATCCTTGGGGCTTCAACGGTGGTAAAATTTGATTATAGAGGCAATCCAACAACAATTAACCTTGATAGAAACAACTCTCTTCCATAGCAAAGTAGTATAAATTGCATTGGCACATGCTGCTATAACTCAATATGTTAGCTCCTGAGCTTTCTCTTGTTCGTTCGCTTTGCTCTTTCTTGCTTGACTGTCATCTTTATAAGGAACATGTTTTCTTGTCAAAACCATACAGCACTAAGATAATTATAATCATCAAAAAATAGGTATGGTGGAGAAAAAAATCAAGTATTCTCTTTCCTTGCTCATTAAGCCAATGCGTTAAAGATGCTGTGGCTTATTGATTTATTTACACGATCTATCACCTTCTAGCAGCTGTTGTATGGCTAAAGAGGGATATACGTTTATATCAACAGCGGTTGTTTTCATAGAGTCTTTATGAAGGGGTATGAAGAACTTTTGCAATGGAAAAAATGTCTTAAACTTTGGACTCTAGAGCAGTGACTTGTTATTAGTTTGGAACATGGAAGTTGGTGAGGAAATGGACTTGGATTAGTGAAAGTGGTTTTCTGTTCAATGCTTGGAAAAATAGTGAGGTGCAGAAGTTGGGAGCAATGATAAGGAAAATACAAGCTGTTTAAGAGGAAATCGGAATCCACTCTAAAAGGAAAGGGAAACTGGTTAAAAAGTGAGAAGAACGCAGGGCACAATCTGCTACACCCACTCAGTGACTCCTCACTGTATTTGCTGAATATATCAATCTCCATCTGGTATTCTTGTTTCTCACCTTTGCCAAAATTCTATCCTCTTTACACAGATTATGTTGATCCCTTCTTACTCACTCAAGTTGTCTATTGCTTTCACTCTAACCCAATGGATCCTAATTCCTATAGTCTCAAAGTGGGTGCTAGTTAGCAGTAATCAGGCTCCAATTTCAATTCCAAACTAAGTTCGACATTTGGTCTAGTGAAAGTTGATGCCAACAGATACCAGTCCCCTTACTTTTATCACCACAGTTGATTCTCAGTTTTCAGCACCTCCCAGTTGTGGTACTGATTGATGGCTTCTGATTTTCTTTTTCATGTGTTGCAAAAACTCTTCTAGTATCTTCAGTAAATAATAACCGAGAAACCCACTGGTTATTGCTTTGAAACTCGGTGGGTAACGGGCCAACCCCTCTACTCTTCTCCACTAAATAATAAATAGTAGACTTGGTTCACAATATGACTCAAACTCGTGATATGCGCCTACCACACACCCCATGATACTACGTTTACCAATGAACCAAAGCTCTAGGGGCGTGTCTTTGGTACATATCAATGGGCTATTTTCAATTAACGGTAACTCTGATCTGCTAGCTAAAGATATGAAGATGATATGACTTGAGCTTAAATAAAAAAGTGAGGATTCATATAGCCTACCCCAACTTGTTTTGGATTGAGGCGTAGTTGTTGTTGTTGGTAACTCTGATCTACCTATTTGATATGATGGCCACTCTGGGTTGAGTTTTAATCTGTGTGCCTTGAGGCTTAAAAGTTTGCTGGAAAGTAGTGGTAGTGCTAGTGACCATTTTCCTTCTGTTATTAAGTGTATATGACTCTTCCATGTGTAGGATTGAGTATCTGTGAAAGGAAAATAAGAAAAGAAAGAAACTGTAAGGTATACTTATTGAAGAAAAGAATAGGAACTGTAAGGTATATTGAGTATTTTTCTCTTCAGATTCTCTCCCGAAACCTAAACCAAACAAGAAAGTTGACCTTGTGTAACTGCACAGGATAATGGCGCCCATGTTTCTTAGATTTGCTTTTCTTTTCTTTTGCATTCTATTTTCTCCACCTATTCTAAGGTCCCCCAAAAGTGCGATTATTTTGAGATAAACAATACTAGAGGGTGAACTAGAATAAATGTGAAAAGATAGAAGACGACGAAATAAGATAGAAGACGAAGAAATGTGAGGTCAAAGAACGAGGAATGAAGCTAGAAGATGGAGGAGAAACATACTTCAGAACAAAGTTATGAAATTCTATGTTTCGATCAGTAGCTAACCTAGTTAGGCTTCTTATCAACTAAGAACCCTTATTCTGTCCAGGTCATATAGGGTTTGAACAAGCAAGTTGTGTCTGAACTCCTTCAAGTTTATATTTTTAATCTTTTTGTCTCTCTTGATGTTCATTTTCCCAAGCAAGCTTCAACTGCTAATATTTCTTCTCCTATAAATGTCCATTATTTGCTTGGAGAAATTGTCATGCTATATTTATGTGTAATTATGGTGTAAAATGAGGTGATACTTATGGATATATGTTCATGACAGATCCTCAGTACGCGTGCTCGTAAGAATGTTGTCATGAGTGATATCAAGGTCAACGTTTGCATATATGCTTTTGATATCTTGTATCTTAACGGACAACCACTTCTTCAAGAGCAACTTAATGTTCGCAGAGAGGTAATTTCATTTTTGTGGTTGAATATTTGCCTATTATTCTCATGATTATATCGTTCTTTTTTTACTTCAGGGAATTCCTATGCATATATTTATATCCTTTTGTGCTTCTGCGGAAAACCAAGTAGCATTTGTCTTGATGGGCTTCTGGCTGAAATGTCTTATCCTTAAACGCCATATTTTGAGCATCTTACTGGCGTCTTATGCTGCTGCTAGATAGGAGGAGATGTCATTTTTTCATGAGAATTCTATATTCAGAAACTCTTACTGCTGCTTCTTGATTTCTCTTCAGTGAAAGTGATGCATTTACCTCTTTTCCACTTCCTACCAATGGACCCTTGGAAATTATAAAACTAGGTTCACTTTCTCATGAGTAAGCCCTTCTGGAGTCTTCCTTTCTTGTCATAGGTTGCACAATAGGAAAGGGGCAGGTGGAGCGTCCAGTGCACTTTGTGCTTGATTTGTTCAATTTTCCCAAATCTCAGTTGACTAGGCAATGACGGTTGATCTCTCTTAAAATCCAGTGATTTGGCAGTAGTTTGTCTTTCATATCCTTTGGGACGACTTTTCTCTTTCTTCCATGAACCTGAATCTCATCAAGTTAGTAATCATTTACATGAGAGTCATGTCTGGCTTAGTTAATGAAAAAAGTGAAGTTGTTTTGGCATGTATTGACATAAGATTCTTGGCTATCTATGGCTTTGATTGTTAGTCAACATTTGTATACAGTTCTTAAGTGGAGGTTAAGGTTTTAATTTCTGTGGCGGGAGGTGGGCTTATGACGTCCTAAGATCTCATTCTCAATCTTAATATTTTAAACTGTTCTTCCATATTGAAGTCTTGTCATGTTTACCTTTAGTACTGTAGTACATAAATTGGCATTCCCTTAATGGACCCTATAGTTTTCTCGAAGATTAACATTGTGTGAACAATTAATTTATCGCTCAAAGACATCACTTCACAAAGTTGATTGTTAATACTGTGGATTTTGTCTTCAAGCAGCATCTTTACAAGTCATTTGAAGAAGAACCCGGATATTTCCAATTTGCTACAGCTGTAACCTCAAACGATCTTGAGGAAATAACGAAATTTCTTGAAGCTGCAGTGAATGACAGGTAGTATCAGACACTGATATCTAACAAATCTGTTTCTGTTTTTCTATTAATTCAAATTTATTGTTTAATTTTATTATATATTTTTAACATTTTTTTGGCTAAGTTCAAATGTTTTCGTAATGATCATGACATGAAGTGTGTTTGGGCGTCTTAAGTAAGGGATTGAGACCCATGAAGTCACTTATTTATATAAAAATCCTCACATTGCTTTATTGGTTACGCCGAGCCTTATTTTTCTATCATCTGGTTTCATAAGTTCTAAAGCTTCTTGTGTTTTCTACCCAAGATTCATATCTGACGCTGTTGTTGTAAAATAATGTTACAGAGCTAAAAGCATATCGTATATTCTGATTGTTGCCAACTTTATGGTTACTAGCACTTGAAACATGGATAGTTAATAAGTACAAATCATGTGCATTCCCGGTTTGAATCCGGATTAGTCGGGGCCCCAAAGTGGGTAGTGGAGACCGGGTGGGAAACCAAAAAATAAATAAATCATGTGCATGATTTAATTGCTTAATTTGTGTGTCACTTATCAAAATTCTTGCAAGAAATAAATATTTCTGCAAGTTCATAAATCAAGTGTCATTTCCTACGCTGTCCATTTCGTAGCTTTTTGGTGTGTTCCAATCCTTTTAGGCGAAGAGGTAATAGGTTGGGAAACAAAACTTGCAATACTCGGAGCATGTGTGACTCTTCATTGTGGTTTTTATCTACCTTACTGGTCAATTAATTGATAGCTTTATACCAAATACCTCTCAAGGGTCGACCTTTTTTATGTGTATTTTTGCAGCAGCGACAAGACATATTTTTAATGAACCCTAGCTAGTTAACTGAGATCCTGTAACCTAGTAATACCATCAGGAAAATTGGACTTTCTGTCTCTTATATACAAAAGCTTCCCCATTATCACTACGATTGCACTTTACTTGATCCAAAAAGAAGAAAAAAGAGGGACTTCCTGTCGTAATGTCTTCAGTTGTAGTAGAAGGAAATTGGAAAATAAATTCTTATCACTTAGATTTTGTCCATTTCTGCAGTAATGAGGGATTGATAATCAAGACACTAAGTAGAGATGCTACATATGAGCCTTCAAAGCGGTCAAATAACTGGCTAAAACTGAAGAAGGACTACATGGAAAGGTATGTGCCAGCAGTACTGCTTTATATATATTGCTGCTTATACTAGAGAAGAAACTTCAACTTTTATCAATTTGAGTTTCAGTATTGGCGACTCACTGGATTTGGTACCAATTGCTGCTTTTCATGGTCGGGGGAAACGTACTGGTAAACTTCATCTACTTTTATGTGGATAAACTGGGACCTGAGTTTGGTTTAATTGGCTAATGCATTCATTTTCTGACAGGTGGTTACGGAGCCTTTCTCCTAGCTTGTTATGATAGCAACAACGAGGAGTTCCAGAGCATCTGTAAAATTGGTAAGCTGTTTACTCCTGTAACCGTTATGTGGCAACGATCTAGCCCACTTATGTACTTGGTTTTTATATGCGATGCTTTTTTATGATTTGCTGGTTAGGAACTGGATTTTCTGAAGCAATGCTTGAAGAACGCTCTTCCAGCCTTCGTTCCAAAGTTATTCCGAAACCAAAGGTTGCTTATCTCATCTTTCCCGAATTACTCAGTTAGTGGGATTCTTGTGCCCCTCTAATGCATGCGCGATATTCAGTCATATTACAGGTATGCGGAAACCATCAATCCAGATGTATGGTTTGAACCTACCGAGGTAATAGTTTTTACATTCCATTTATTTGCCATACTTCAAAACTTTGGAACCGATTTTCTTAGTTTTTCTTTTTAGGGTTTCTCTCTCTCTCTCTCTCTCTCTCTCTCTCTCTCTCTCTCTCTCTCTCTCTCTCTCTCTCTCTCTTATTTTATTTTTAAAAAATTAGCTAGGTAAGTCGTTCCGCTTCTACTCTTCTTTAGTGCTTAGTGTGAGACATCCATAACATCTGCATCTTTTGATATTGGCATTCGTGAAAAAGTTGTTTCCTGTGCTAGCTTACCATCTTATGAGGAATTTTGTATGTAAAATGCTCATGATCTGTCAGTTGGGTTTATAGTTTATACTTTTGGGTGTTTCCGGAAGGGGGTGGGCAGATATGGCATCTGATCCAGTTCCTTTTTGAAAGATATGGTGAACGTTAACTGACCCCTTGGTAGTGTATTAAAACCCATCGCTCCGTCGCTTAATGGGATGCAAAGAGGGGGGCATCGCTTCATGGGCGAAGCCGTCCGCTTCAGATAAGAATGCGCTTTAAACAATGACAGTCAAGGTGATCGTAACGAGAAACTGTCATTTCCTTAAAGCTCAACTTTGAGGAGTTGGATTAAAGTCTGCATTATAGTAATTGGATGTTGAAATTACTTATTTTAGCATGATTTTGATTATTATAGTAACAAATTCGTGTGTATGGAATTTAAATGCTTCACTTTCTCTTTTCGCTTCAAGCCCCACGTACCTTGTAGCTTATTTGCTCTTTTAGCTTTTACAAGCTGCCCCTTGAATGTCATTGTTCCAAAGATTGGATATCATATGAAGTCCTCTAATTTGATCGACTATTGAACTGGCATTTTTTCTGCTTTCCTGAACTTTTAAATGTCTAAAAATGGGTCGATAGCTTTTTCATGTAAATACAGATTGTGTATTTCATCCAGTGTTGTCAAAGCCTTGCTTACGCCCTGAAATGAGCTGAGCACTTCTCGTGGCTTAGCTGCCACTTCAGTGCAATCACCAAGGTGCTAAGGAATACGCTGCAACACCAATGGGCTTTGTCTTGAAGAGGCGACAATAAACAATAAATATTCCCTTAGTTGCCAAATTTTAAATTCCTTTATCCATGTAATTGTTACTTGTGCTTATATTCTTGAATTACATGTATACTGTTGTATTTTATTCTTCACTTATACCTTTCTTCAATAAAGCCTGCAATTTAACTGCATTTTGCGCGCTTTTTTTGCACCTTTCCCCTTTGATAACACTGATTATCATCTGTGTTTTTACTTCATGATGCAAAGGTTAATATCTCCAGAACATTTTGTTAATATCAGGTATGGGAAGTGAAAGCAGCTGATCTTACCATCAGCCCTGTCCACCGTGCTGCGCAAGGTATCGTGGATCGCGATAAGGTATGTATCTTTTGAATAGAACATGCAGTGAGAAAACTGAATTTTGCAGTTTTATGCCTACCTAAGTCGCTCTGCGTTACTTGGCTTACCAATGCCAAAGCATATCCAAAGGTTACTAGTGCTTTTAGTCATTGGACCCCAGACAGTTGGGATGATCTCCTATTCAAATGTGTAGAATACATGCCAATATAGTGTTTATTAGTGGCAAATTAAGGCTCTATCTTCAGTATTGCATACACACATAATGATTATGAAGTATATTTATGTCATTTACTATTTCTTGTCACAGGGAATATCTTTAAGATTTCCACGTTTGATTCGTGTACGAGAAGACAAGAATCCCGAACAGGCCTCATCAGCAGACATGGTGAAATTTTTTGCATTGTCATCTTATCCTTTGCTGGTTTATTATTCTATTTTTATTCAGGACGGTGTTGGCTTCAAACCTTTTATCTCATCATGCTTTGCTTCTCAGGTCGCGGATATGTTCAATGCACAGAAGCACAATCATAAAAATGATAAGGATGATAATGAAGAAGACTAATCAAAGTTCACTTCACGTCTAAAGCTGATGAGGATGACAATGAAGAAATTAATCAAAGATCGCTTCACGTCTTTTATCTAAATGAACGATCATGTCTGTTGTACAGATTGATATCCTTGGCGTAAGTTGGGTCTTATATTTTCATTCCCTCAATTGATTTGCTGACCCTACGAAAAGAGAGTAGAGTTAATGAGAATTCATCTGTTGGAGGTAAAATGGTGCTTCTTACCATTTGTTAGTTGCCTCTATCAATTTTCAATCTTGTACTCCAGTGTCAACACTCTGTATGTATACTTTGATTAGTTGAAAAGTGAAATATGTCAAGCCTTTCCGACGAGAAACTTTGCTATACTGGAAGCATAGATCTGTATAATCTTTTCAAAAATAAAAACTGACCCTTACTATGGTATTGGAACCCGCGCGTAGCAGAAGCTTAGTGCGCTGGGCTGCCTGACTATGGTATTGTTCCTAACTGTGGGGTGCCTTTACCAGCAAGAATATGTAATGAGCAGTAATATGTTGAATTAAGAGAACCTGTTAATATGAATTCAATGTTCCTTCGTTAGTCAGCTGCATGTACCACGTTGTTGACAAGTTTTGGCTTCGCAGTTGGCTGTGGTCCAACTGCATTAAAAAAGTCCATGTTTTTCTTTTGCTCTAAGTTCATCAGCCTAAACTTTGGTGATTTGAGTTATTCGGATTATTTGCACCGTATAGCCTTTTTGAGACCACTCTTCAAATTCTCTTTCCCAGTTAGCTCTAGTGGTCTAGATTTCGTCCATAAAGTAGTTGGATAAATTTTGCTTTTTGCAGACAATTTGAGCTCAAGTCGGCTAACAGGAGACATCACTTAAATAGTGGTCTTTGAAAAGGCCATTTTTGCAACTCTTAGGTTAGTGGAGGGTAGAAGGTAATAAGTGAAATAGTTTAGGTGCGCGCAAACTTATTTGGACTCCACATTTGTGAAGAAAGGGGAAAACAAATTAGAAATAGCTTGATTTACCATTGATAATTGATAAAATTAGCCACAGTTTTAAAGTAATCCAAATTTAGTCATCATGTAAAAATAAAATCTGAACAACTTAAAATTCTGCAAAATTCTAGTATAATATGTTGGAGTTTAATTTTTTATATATGAGGTTTTAGCATAATGTGATGAAATTCCAACAGACTAGAAGTTCATACGCAGGAGTTTCATAATTCAGCATATTATATTGTAACTTTTCGTGTTTCAGCTTGGGTGTTTTTATCCAAATTTTATTTTCGCATAGAATAGTGGTTATTTTTCAATGATTTTGCAAATGCTGTCCCATGCTATTTTTACTATAGAAAGTGTACCATGTACATTTTCAGAAAACATTGCAATTCGTCTTCAAACTTTAAAAACACTTCCTCTTTTGTACTTAACACAACTTCTAATTCAACATTAGACAAGGAAAAGAAGAAATAAGAATTCATGATTGTTATGATTCTATTAATGCTGTTTTAAGCAGGGAAAAAAGGCAAAAAGCTATGATACATATGGAGTGCCGCAAGAAAGTAGTATTAGCCGGAGTACTAAATTGAAAAATAAAGAAACTGAGATGGGGTTTGATAGCAAAAGCAGAGAGATTAATTAAGAGAAAGGTATAGGAAGAGAAAATGATTAAGAGATACATCAAATCAAGATTTAAATAATTTTAACATTACATAAGGAGTAGATCCTGATTTTGATTTGTGGGTTCCCACTCCTTTACTCGCCCGACAAGGCTCAGCTCTTAAACCTTCTAGTTGTTGCTCTCTTCCACCTTCCACCTTCCACTCCTAACAACTCCATACTCCACAATCCCAAAAAATCCAAATCCACTCCTCCCCCCCAAAAGGAAAAAATACCCCAATAAAAATCAAAAGATGCCAAAATTAAAAATTAAAAATTCGAAAAGGCAACAAAAAAAAAGAGGGGCAAGTGCACAGATGGATTGACTAATTCCTAAATGGCAGCCCTTTAAACTGGTTACCTGGTGTCATTTCTTTAAAAAAAAAAAAAAAAGAGTTAAACTTGGTGCCAATTCATACTATATCATCTATATAATAAGTATTCTCTATAAGATTAGAGGTTTGGAGTCATCTGAAAGGTAAATGAGAATACTATTGCGTCCTTAAGTAGAGGGAAAAAGCATATAATCCTATTATACAGGAGAGCTGGAATTGCAACATTGGATTCTCATTCAAGTCGTTTTTAACAACCCAAAAATTTTAACTAAAAAATAAAGAGGAAAAGGACTCAATCCCTAGAATGGTTCAATAATAACTAACCATGAATATACTAAGAAAATGCAAGGAGAGGGAGAGTGAACTCACTAATATGCAGCTATGTAAAGTTACATCAACAATCATAATGCAAAAATCAAACTCTAAAAGATTACAATAATAATTAAAGGAAAGAGACAATCCAACCAACATACTATTACTGACCAAAAACTAAAAATAGCTCAGCTCAGAACAATACTAATTTTTTCCCCCTTCTTTTCAACAAAGTCTAATTCAGATCTTTTCCAATTCTGTACAAAATTTCAAACATCAGTTGTTCTTTTCCAACTCAATCCTCCAATTGTAGTCTGCCTCTCTAAATTTTCTTAAATATATTACTACTACTAAATTCTATCAAGAACTGAAAATCAAAGCACAACCCTTTGATACTTAGTACCAATGGAAGAATCAGAATCATCAAAAAGACCACCACCCCTTTTCTTGTTTAGTCTACCACAGTTGTTAAAAGCATTAAAAATTGGATCTTGAGATGGAATAACAACAGGGGGTGGTGGAATCTCATAGGAATCCATGGGCGGTGGAGGGTGACGCCATTGAGGAAGAGGACCAGCAACAAGAAGTGTTTGAAGTAGTGGCCCTGCTTTCATTACTGCTTGCAAAAATTTCCCATTTTCAGGCAATGGTTTGTCTATAACAATAGGAAATTCTTGTTCTTGTTGTTTTTCTACTAAATGGGGTTGTTGAATGGAGTCTAGAATTGGAGAAGAAACAATGCTTTCATCACAATCTGAAGAAGAGAAGCCATTGTTTCTTGGTTCATCTTCAATGCTTGAAACTCCAGATAATATTGGACCTGTTTGTTGAAACTGTTGCTGTAGCAGCTGCTGGTGCTGTTGTTGTTGTTGGAGTAAGAGTTTCTCTAAAACCAATGTTTGGCATTTTTCTTGAGCTTCATTCTTGTCATTAATGGCTCTGTTTAGTAGATCTTTTAGCTGGATTATTTCATCATCTCTCATTTTTAGCTCCTCCTGAGCTTTCAACCTTGTGTTCTCCAGCTCCAATGTTGTCAGCAACAATGTCTGCCTCAGCTCATCCATGCTCTGAAATATTCAAGAAAACACAAGAAAAAAAAAGAAAACCCCATCAAGATTTTGCTTTCAAATTACAAGAAAAAAAGGGATACAAAGCATCCCGCATTCACGCAAGGTACAGGAAAGAACCGCACCCAAGGAGGTGTGTTATAGGCAGCCTAGCTTGATGCAGGCATCAGCGTATGATTTCACGGCTCGAATCCATGAAATTCAATGAAAATGGTCTTAAATTATCCATAAAAAATGCTTGGAAATGTATAAAAATGTAGAATAGTGAGTGAGAAATAATTCTGACCTTGCCTTGGCAGAAGTAAGCCCAATTAAGAAGTGTAGTTCTTTGGTTGTCCATAAGCTTAGTGTAGTAAATTTAGTTAAATTCTGATAGAGAATTCTTGTGTTTTTGTCGACAGAAGAAAGAAAATAAAGGGCAGAGTAGTGTGATGACTAATGAGAGACAGGAGAGGAGGAAAGAAGTATAGTTAGGTGCTTTGATTTGCTCCTTTATAAAGGACTATACTTTTTGGGACTTTGTTGCCCATTTCTCACTTGCACTATGTTTTTTTCCTACAAGGGAGCATTTTTTTTGTTAATTACCAAAATGGGACAAGAAGTTTTTTAAACAGAATATTTGGGACAGTCTATCTTGGAAAGTTGCAAACCAAGTAAAAAAAGGTGACAGCTTACTTCTACAAAATTTGACTTGGTTAAAATGAGTTATGCACTTGGTAGAGTTGCTTTTCATAGTCTTTTTCAAAATCTGTTTCCTACTTCTACAAATTCAGTCCAATTACAAAATATGGCCGAAAGTATTTGCAACAGGTTTTGAGGAATTTGAAGGGTAATTATGTCTTTAACCATATTTATGTAAGTATTAAAAATCCTTGCATTGCTAATATCATAGTTTTCTATGTATTTTAGTAATACATATGATAATACAAAATGGTATGTATAACTAATACAATTACTATTAGTTATATATAGGTTGAAAAAATATACCAAACAAGAGATTATACACAAAGCTATTGTTTGCATTATTTTTTTTAATACCTCCTAGGGTCATTTGGTAGGATGTGTTAGGAGAAATAATACATGTATTAGCTTTGATATTATAATTTTTTCTTTATTAGTGTTTCTCAATCTATGTATTAGTTATACACCATATTTAGTAATATTCATATGTATAGCAAACCACATGGCATTAGCAATATCATAATTTTTAATGCATGGATAAGCTTGTATAAAGATTGAACTGACCACTTAAAACTTTTCCATATCCTTTCCAACGAATAAGATGGTACAGCAAACCGAATAATTGATAAAATATAATCTCAGCACAATTAATTCCAATATTACTAATCTTAGAGCCCGTTTGGCCATGATTTTTTTTTTTATTTTTTTCGAAATCAGTGTTTGGCCATAAATTTTACAATTTTCACTTGAAGATGAATTTTAAAATTTTTTGAAAATTTGAAAAAACTCCAAAAAGCTGTTTTTTAAAATTTTCGTTCAAACCACTCACAAAATTTTTAAAATAACCCAAAAGTTATATCATGTTCAGACACAACTCTAATTTTCAAATCCCATTTTCACTTGAAGAAAATATTCACTTTTTTCGGAATTTTACAATTCTTATGTCCAAACATAAGAATTGTAAAACTCCGACAAAGTAAAAAAAATTCAAGTGAAAATGGTATTTGAAAATTAGCTATCGTTTGGCCATAGATTCCCAAATTTGTTTAAAAAAATCTGATTTGGGTGAAGTTTGGTTTGAAGATAAAAATCTGTCTGGACATAATTTTTCAAAACATACTTCACTCTTTTTAAAAAAAAAAAACACGAAATGTGAATTATACCCATAGGGTTTTAAAACTATCCAAAATTCTCAATAATTCTGAAGAAAATTCATACAAAACAAGCGAAACAAATATGAAGAAAATTTATACAAACATTAGCATATTTTAGCAAATTAACTTCAAATTTTATCTTTGCGGTGGATTGCCACAACAACTTTGGCGAAGGTTTTCTTCGGTTTATAGTGAAGGGCAAACCCGTGTGAGTTTAATGAGTGAAAAGTCGGTTGATATGAATTAGTTGGGTCATAATAATACAAAGTGATTTCTTTTTATAAAATACAAAGGTTTGGGGCTATTTTTGATTTTTTTTTTTAAAAAACCAAACGGTAATATTTTGGGCCAAAAATAGCTCTTGAGCTAGTTTTGGGATTTGGAAATTTTTCAACATATGAATAAAATCTATAAACAAATAGGTATTTGCCAAAAATCTATAAGCTGTTTTTGAATTTTGAATTTTTTTAAGTGATCTGAGTGAAAATTTTAAAAAACAACTTTTTGGAATTTTCAGAATTTCGAAAAATTCCAAAATTTATCTTCGAGTGGAAATTGAAAATTTATAATACTTATTTCTGAAAAAAGTGAAATTTTTTTCAAAAAATATGAAAAAATTTACATGACCAAACGGGCTCTATTACATCTTATTATTCTTAATATTCCTAATACATTTTATTCAATATTATTTTTATACATTCCATGAAACGACCCCTCAGTAGAAAAAAGGGATAGGTCTAAATACTCCTGGACTCTAGAGTCGAGACAAGCTAAAGTCCTCCACAATGCTTGATTTTTCTAAAGAAATAGCTACAGAGGAAGGTTGGGGTTTGGGGGGGGGGGTGGGTTGGTTTAGACGAACGCGGGTGAAGGGTGACTGAAAAGTCATTGGCTTGTGTTTGGACACAGTCGGCTGATGGCTTACTTCCTTTTTCAGAGTTTACAAATCAGCGCCAAATACGGGAGTAAAGACAACTCTCTGCTCACTGTCCACTGATGTTACCTCTACTATCGTTGCTAGCCAATGACCCGCCGTATTTTTTTCTCATACGGTCGTTTCATTGGATGTTATAAATAAAATAATATATGCGTTAGTTTTGTATATTAATAAAATTTTATTTGATAAACTTTTTGAATTTATGCATATGTAGTAGTAATAAACATGCAAACATTAGTTATACATCCTATTTGTGTCACGACATAAAATTCATTAAAGGCCATGATGGCGTCGGACACCTCGGTCAGGCAAACCAACACTAAATAGTTAATTAAGCTCTCATTTTAATATTTTTGAAACCATAAATTTTCTTTAATTTAACTAGTAAAAGGTAATCTTCACAGAATAAATAAAAGTGTTTACAATTTTCAATACTGAATATCCCATAATCACTTAGAACCCAGTGTCACAAGTGCATGAGCAATCACTAGGAAATCAAAGGAAGTGCAATAACTGTCCGGAATACAAAATTGGACAGAAAGAAAATACAATACTTTGAGAGAGACTCTGCTGGTTGCGGGTTGTCTCGAGAGATGCAGCTCACCTAAGTCTCCGTATCAACCATGCCGCTACGCCCACTAGGCCACTAGAGATAGATGTGCCTGTGCAACAAAAATGCACAACAAGTGTAGTATGAGTACGAAAATAACACGTACCCAGTAAGAATCCAGTCTAACCTCGAAGAAGTAGTGACGAAGTGTCGACTCCGACACTTACTAGTGGTCCAATAATATCGGGTACAGTAATGGGGTGAATAAACATGAAAGAGAGTAAATATATGAAGTAAACAAGTACAAAACACGTGATACAATTCTCCTCTTTATAATAATACTCAGCTCTCAGCTAGCAAGTTTTATCCGTAACCGGAGCAATTATATATAGATATAGTGGATTTCATTAAGGAAGTTCTCATAAATCAAATCAAGGAAAAACCCTCAGATACACTGGCTTCTAGCCAATTGTCACGCACGATTCCATGAGAATAATATATATATATATATATATATATATATATATATATATATATATATATATATATATATATATATATATAGGAAATGCCGAGGCGTACAGCCCGATCCAACATAAAAGTAAACTGTGCACTGCCAGAGGGTCGAATGACGCGAACCATAGATGCATCTATTAACCTGCCGAGGCGATCGACCCGCTCCCATGAGAGTAGTAGAAGGAAATACCCCGCTCGCCAATCATACGTGCGATGCCGTCAAATATAAATTTAAAGAATTTCCCCACTCCCGAATCATACCTGCGACGCGGTCGAATGTAAATTTAACATTTAGAATCATATTTCTTTCTTGATTCCTTTTCAAAATAAGGGAAATTCAGCTTGTAGCCTTTAAGAAACTTACCCCGCTCGCGAAACATACATGCAACGCGGTTACACATAGATTTCTTAAGTTATTATAAGATTTCTCAATTCTTTTCTAAAATACTAAGGTTAATGGAAATGCTTAAAGTCTTAAATTCCTTTCAGCACAATTATTATGCAACCCCAATCTTATTTCTTCTCAAGGCAAACAATAAACATAAATCAACAATAATGTCAACAAGGCACATGCATAATAGTTGCTAAGCACGGACTCTTGTCACCTCGTGCGTACGTAGCCCCCACAAATTGGAGCACACATTTAATTATTTCACCTATGGGGTTAATTCCCTCTTACAAGGTTAGAAAGATGACTCACCTTGCTCCGAAGTTCCATAACCAGCTTCTGAGCCCTTCAAACAACTCGAATCGATGCACAACGCTCCAAAACTAGCAACAACTATGCAAACACATTAATACACGCTCAATTACTCATTATAATATAATTTATAACAATTTCTGACCCCGATCGAAAAGTCAATAAAAATCACCCTCGGGCCCACGTGCCCAGATTTCGAAATTTTCTGAAGATAAACTTTACCCATAACCCTACGAACTCAAATATGTAATTTGTTTCCAATTTCATGCCCAAATTCGTGGTCAAAATACAAATATACAAGATTCTAGGTTTTTCCACCAAAATTCCAAATTTCTACTAATTTCCATACTTTAATCCATATCTAAATTATGTATTTAACTTATAGTGAGTGGGAACAACTTACCTGGTGATACGTGAAGATTATCTCCCCTTGAAGCTCTCCAAAATCTCCCAAACCAAATGAAAATGGGTGAAAAATGGCCAATTCCCATTTATAAAAACCCTCTCTGCCCATCCCATTCCGCACCTGCAGTACACCAGCAGCACCTGCGGCTCCGCACCTGGGGAAACTACCATCGCAGGTGGGGTGTCAACTAAACTCAGCCACGTCCGCTTCTGCGGGCTGAAACCGCTCCTGCGGTTCGCTTCTGCGGAGCCCCGACCGCTTTTGCAGTCTCGCTTCTGCGGGAGCTTCGCCGTACCTACGCCCCCAGCCAAGCCAGTCCAATTCCGCTTCTGCGGCTTCCTTCTCGCTTCTGCGGGCTCGCACCTGCGGTGCTTTTCACGCAGGTGCGGTTACACCTGAAGCCCAGCTGCTTCAGCCCTTCCTCAAATTCCATTTTCAATTCGTTAACCACCCGGAATCCACTCGAGGCCCCCGAGATCTCGTCCAATCACACCAACCAGTCCAATAACATAAAGCGGGCCTGCTCGAGGCCTCA